CAAAGTTAACAGGGATTTCAGATTATTCTAAAAGTTCCTCTGTAATTTGATATGAGTAGCCTCCTTTCTGTTAAACAATATTAAAATTATTATCTGACTCTTGGCTGCTCTCCTTTTCTCTCCATGTAATAGCAAAGGAAAGATATGTACTTAACTCATTCTATTCTCTTGTGTTTGTTGTGCCAATTAGATTTCATATTTCCAATTCCTTTTGCCACATAGTACTCTATGAATGGCAGGATAGAACTTTTTGGATTCTTATTCACAAACTGCATTTCTTCTAGGAGATGTGGAGATTAAATATTTTAATATTTTGCTTAACCTTTTAACTTTGGAATTAAATTTGAAGAGCATTCAAGTAATGCTGTCATTTATCCTTCAAAAAGGTAGAATTAGTGTTTTCTACTTTCAACACATGTTCAGCATCTCTTGTATGTCCTGTTGTCATAATTACCAATAAAATTAATTGATTATTACTCTGGAAAGCAATATTTTATAAAATATGTAGAAAAAAATTGTTTTCACAAAATATGTTAAAGTATTGCTTATAAGAAGCTTTACAAACATTCACAAGTTCTAGGATCCTAAAGCAGCATTTACTAAGTTGGTTAGATACAATGCCCTAGGGCATGTGACATGAGCATGAGCGTACCTTATAAAGAATCTCGTGGAATGTAAGGCATGCATTATAGTAACATGACTGAAGTGATCTGTTGCCAAGAGCCATACCCAAGTTGGCCATAACTTGAAAGACTTGTCACTCGGAACCGTGATGTGAATAACCTGTCACCCGGAGCCATGACCAAGTCAGAGCCATGACATGAACCCGTGACTAAGGGTAAATGGTACTAATATTTTGAGTGGATAGATCTGCTTATAGCAGTGAAAGGGTTAAATGTCTAGTCCTTATCCCAAATATGTTGGTTATTTCATAGATTGGTGAATAGCCTTGCCAAGGTATACTGTATGCATGCCCTTATTTATGGCTACCAGGAAGTGTGTGAGAACCATGTGACCCTCATTATGGTACACAGCTAAGAAAAATCCTTTATAGAATTGTAATGGTTGGAAGTCTTAGTATAGAGTCCAGACTGTGATGATTCCAAGTTTATTACTCTCATTAACACTTTCCAAGATATTGTGAGGGTAAGTTAAAGTTTTTATTGAAAACACAAGTTCATTTTTTTCTTTATGTTTCCAATTACTGGGCTGTATGCCATTCCCTGAAGTATCTATTGGTGCACAGGCCCACATTGCAATCAGGGCAGTAGATCCTGGAATTCTTCCAACTCCCCTGCATCAAACAAAGCACCTCCTCCTGCTGTTAAGGATCTCAGTGACAGCCCCCCCCTCCTCACCTCAGTAGAGTAGTCAAAATAGGTAAGGTGCTGGGTGGAAGTCAGAGATAAGCGTGATGGAGATGGAGCTGTTTCTTTTGATGAGTGAGGGTCATTAACCTAGAGTAGGAGAAGGAGCAGTTTTGAATGCTTGCAAGGTGAGGCATTATGATAGCAAGTATTAAATGAGGTGCTTGTCCCCTTTATATCAAATAAACCATGTGCTTTCACCTGGCCAGGAATGTGGAACTTGACAATATCCATTGAGGTCATAGCAAGCTGGGTCACATGTAATAATAATGTGACAAAACATGTAATAGCCTTGTGTACTGACATCACTTCCTTATTTGATATCACTTATTACTACAAGGAAGCGAGGATAACAGCTGCAAAATTTCATCACTTCTGTTTTATGACGTCTTGAAAGTGAATACGACAGTGGTAATGATACTACTTCTTCAGCTTCATGATCTCACTTTGTGATGTTAAATCTTGTGATGTTGCTTCATTTGCCTATCTACCTGCCTCTCTGTCTGTCTATCTGTCTCTGTTTCCCTTCCTCCCTCCTTAGTCTTAGATTTTGTTTTGTTTTCATTTTGATTCATTCTCTCTCTCTATCTCCCTCTCCCCTCCTCTCCCTCTCCCTCTCCCTCTCCTTCCTTCCCCTTCTCTCTCTCTCTCTCTCTCTCTCTCTCTCTCTCTCTCTCTCTCTCTCTCTCTCTCTCTCTCTCTCTCTCTCTCTCTCTCTCTCTCTCCTCTCTCTCCTCTTCCCTCTCTCT